GAAGAAGAATCTTATGCTTGGCTTTAAACCTAGGTTTTCATCTGTGCTCTGATAGAGAGCATATATATATATTTTTAAGAGGTTCCTGTGGTCAAATTGTTTATAATTATTTGGCCTTTCAGAAAAGTTGCAATTAGATTTTTAGATTATTAAAAGTCTTGCATGATTGATACATTGCTTAATCACGATGGCATTGAAATGTAATACTTAAGGAAAACAAATAGTTTGAGCTCCTTACACATTTGTCAAGAAGTCCTTCACCTGTTTTTCATGTGTTTATGTGTGCATGTGCACTGTGAGTCCATTGCCTCTGAGAATGTCCTTAAGGTCTGAAACAGGACTTCTATTTGAAACCAGCCAGCTGCTTCTCTGCTCCAGCATGTAGTTGGAAACTTCCCTTGGCAAATTTTGGTTTTTTTCCACAAATCAAATAAGTCTGCCAGAAAGAGAGAGAAAAAAAACAACAAAAAAAAACCAAACCAAAAAATACCACCACCCCCCCACCTTGGTAATGCTGCCCAATTGCAGTCTGTACCATCTCCATGGTTTTGAGCCGTCATTATGCAGCGTGCACTCAACACACTTTTATTTAAAGCAGAGCTAAAAGTAGAACTAAACAGCTGACGTTCATAGCCGTTCAGTATGATGCAGAATTACTGGGAGGGGGACGGGACAGGAAGAGGAACACTGCTAGTGCCGGGTAGATTAGGCTCATTTATTTGCACAGAACTATGCAGGACTGTCCAAAAAACCCTCAAACTAGACCATACTTTGTCAAGGAATATAAGCTAACTGTAATAAGTTCTATTTTGTTTTAATCTTGTTTACTTTTGGTTTGTTTTATACCCTGAAATGATGCAATTCAGTTTGCTATGGCTGTTGCAATAACCAGGCAAACTATTGCTACTATGTTATTGCAGCATCCCTGTGCGGATTGCTTTTCATGGAGCCCGTCTCCATATTGCAGAGCCATCTGTTTTTCTTACTGTCCAAGCATTAGGCTCAGTAGTATAAATTACTAATTGCTCTGTGGCTTGCAATTGTTCCTGTTTGTTTAGTGTGCCAGCAGCAAGTGTTCAGCTCTTTCAGCACCATTTATAAGTTTTCCTTGCTCTTTTTTTTTTTTTCTTTTTTTAATGCCTCGGGGGAAGAACTGTAGTTGAGTGAATTGTTGGTCATTCGCATGCTGAATTATTGGCTTGATAAAATAAACTTTGGGAGGTAGGTAGGTACTTTCCTCATTTACAAAAGATTTTGTAGCTGGAGAAGTGATAGAAACAAGTTAAAAAATCATGGTTTGCGAAAAGCAGTATTTTGCTCCCCCACCGCCCCAGTTTCCTTAAATGCACACCAGTTTGTCATACTGCTGGCAGTTTGATCTCATACAGAAAGATCCTTTTTGGCTATGTAAGTATGTGCACTGCTGAAGAGTTAAGGATACTTTTGGAAAACTTAATGCTGAATTCATCAGCTTGTGTCTGTTTCAAAACCTAATCGTAATGTAACAATTGTGTATTTTTTTAAATGTAGTTTCCTTGTCTATCTTTAAGATCAAAAAGATGCAGGTTTGCTTTTGGGTTTTTTTTCTTATATGTATAATATGTATTTTACATTCTGAATTCACTGTTCAGGCTAAACTAGTCGCTTTCAATAGTTCTCTGATGTTCTGTGCCCACGGTAGCTGCAGCGATGGGCACCGTGGCATGCTTAGCTTCATAAGGTGTTTGCGTCTGGGCAGATCAAAACTGTTGGAGGAGAAGGGGATCCTTTGGTTTTTAAGGTGAGAAAGGTAGTATCGAGTGAGAATATAGGGTACAGCATTTTGTAGCTGTTCAGGACTGGCAAGTTTTGGAGGGTGGCAGACCACATATATTGGATGTGTTATGATTTTATGGGAGGCATTTGATAAGATGAGGTGGATACCCGTTTACGGTAGGGTGGTACTGAAATTTTGGTACAACGGAAACTGTGTGTAGGGAAGCGGGTGTCGTTCCCCGAAGTCAGATGGACTTTTTGGAGTTTTCCAGCCGAGGATAGAGGGGTGGTTTTGATAACATACCATAAAATGAACTGAACAGCAAGAAAAACATTTCTTCCTTCTGCGTATTTCAGATACAATGTCAGACAGCTCAAATCTAGCTGAAGGCTTTGAGTCTCCGTAGCATCTGAAGCCTGGTAAGCTGCTGCTGCTATTTCAGTCAGACTGTGAGGTACGGCAGCGAGGAGCGTTGTGCAACCTCCGCTGCAGCGTGCCGTGCCGTGGGGCAGTTCTGCTGTTCGCTGTGGGCTCCCTTCTGGGGCACCCTCAGCTGGGTGATAGAGGTGTGGGGAAGGAGAACCTCCTCAGAGCCTCCTCCAGCTTTTTTCAAGAGTCTAAGTAATATTGTGGTGCCACTGCCTTTGGTGTTTTTTATTTTCCCCTCTCTCTTTTTTTTTTTTTTTCCCCTTTTCTTTTTAATGGGAAACATTCAGTAAAAGAGAGGGCAGCCAGTACTGTCCATTTGTTTTGACCAGTATATCCTTGGGGCTTGTAGACAGCGTGGCCTTCAGCAGGGAAGGGTGAAGTAGTTGGAACAATCACAGAAGTTTGTCTTACAGTTTGAGGGAGGAAGCACAGCACTTTGTCAGATGAAGCTGTATAGAAGAATTTTCTATTCCAATCCAATATTGTTACCTTGCTTGTAGCACTGTGGTCATTAGTGCTCTTAATTTACCTTCCAGTAAATATGCCAGATAAGCCACTGTGGCCAGCCACATTAACTTTCTATTTATTTTTCTTATGATGGCCACCTGAAGCAATAGATTGATGTCTGCAATTTTTACTTCATTAATAATGAAGTCCACAAAGCAGTGAGAGGAATGTCTGTTTACTTGGTGCCTTAAACTGGGCTACTGATGAACTGCTGTTTTTTGATTCAGTAAGATTTTCTTAGTGATTATCAAGATAGAGAAATAAGGTATGTCCAGGTTTAGATGAGAAGCTGAAGTGTCTGTGGGTTAGATGGTAGACATTTAAGTGGTAATTGGGTTATTGAAGAGTGCCCTGCAAGACAGCCGATGCATGGAAAGTCAAATGTGTGTCAGTCTCCTTTGAAATCCATAAAAATTAATCATTTAGGTTTTCCTGTGGCTTTAACTGTGTCCCACAGCAACTTAAAAATGGCTCAGTCTCAAAGTTTGAAAACTCTTCTGATAACATCAGTGCACATTCCTAGCTAAATAAAGAATCTGTAGTGTATGTAATTCCAAAAAGTATTTTTCAAATTCTGTTGTGGCAATTAGTGATAGGAGTACTGTAGAGCTTGCGTGAGTGGGGACATTTTGTGCTGAATACAGCAACAGCTGCCAGTCTAGTCTTCAGAAACCTGGGTTTGGCCCCGAGTATCATTCTTTCCCCTCTATTCCTGTTTTGAGTCTAGTAAAGAGAAGCATATGTTTTCTTGCATCAGCTACGTTGGTGTTACCTTGTGAAGCATGACAAGGTCATGTGTTTGTATGGCAAAAGAGGAAATCTCAAATTGTGTTTGAGCTGTCTTAGACCTGCTTTTTTTCCTGTGATGTATTAAAGATTTCTGTGATATATATGGTTAAATTTCTATTCATGTAGGTATGCGTGTGTTGATGCTACATTGCTGCTCCTGAAATTGGTAGTTATATTATTAATATTGCACATCATGCCAAGAAGGTGTCTTGCATTTAATATAGAACATAAGAAGGTTTGCCTACCCTGTATGAAAATCTCAAATTGGAACTGAAGATGCTATAAAAATTTAAAGGGGACAAGGTCAGCCTGAAAATCGCATTTTAAAAAAGCAGAAAATCATCTATTTTTAACAACAAGTTTCTTTACCTGTTAGTACCTGTACTAGTAATATTTTCAGTTATTAACACTTGAAAATGGTTTTAAGCATTATTTTAATTGTAAAACTACTTAGTTACCATTTGTCTAGGTGCCTGTTAATTTGAGGTTTTCTAGTTGAGAGACATGAGAACTGATCAAAAGCATTTGGATTCCTATGCTCCTTCTGTATGATCAAACAAGTTCAATTTATTTCACTCATGAAAGAAAAGATAATGGATGACTCACTTGCTTTGTACCAACATCTTTATTGAGGGGGAAAAAGTGGATAAGAGGGATCTTCATTATAGCAAGCAAAGAAAAAAAAAAAAAATCAGTAATTGAAAATAGAAGTATAACAAATTCAGACTACAGCTGAGGTGTGTGGTTTAAACACTTGTGGTAATTAAGCACTGGAAGAGCTGGAGAGGAATAGTATGGGATTCACCTTCCTTGGAAGACTTGAAAGGTGAGCACATGCATATTCTGTTTTTTCTAACTATGTTTGCTAAATTATAAACACAAAGTAACTTGAATTAGGTAAGAGGCAAGACTAAATGTTCACAAAGGTTCTTTTAGAATGACTTAATATTTCCTAGGAAACTTGTGGAAAGGATCTGCTCCAACCATCCAGGCTCTTAACCATAATATAACACTTTTTTTTTTTTTTTTTTTTTTTTTGTGTGTGTCTGTTCTGTGCTCACTAGCTATATGGCTTCTAATTTGAGGACACAAAATGAGAAGGGTCTGTATCCATGAGAACATGCTGTCCTCCAGAGCGTAGAATAGAATTTGAAAGTTAAGAATCTCATTTTTTAACTTATTTTCAGATAATAGCTGGCAAGATCTGCTTCACTTCCAATTAGTGGCTGATCAAGACAGAAAGTAATGGTGAACTGCTACTGACTAATCCTTTATTTCAAGTGATAGAAGTGGGGGTAGAGATTCCAACCTTGCCATGACTTGGCTTAAAGCCTTTTCAGGCTCCTTTGAAGATTTGCTGAGCACCTGACTGCAGTTGTTATCTATAGGAAGTCTACTACAAATATAGTAAGTAGTAAAAACATTTAATGTTCTTAAAAATTCCTCAGATCCACACCCAGCATGAGTGGAATAAGAACTGTGAAGGTATATCTAACAGTATTTGTAAAGAAGCAAGATAAAGCAGGAAAATATCATAGAAGACATCTGAGAAAATAAGTGTGGGCATTGTGTGAAATACTGTAAATAACATTCTGTGCATGAAAATGGGTGCTGAATAACTGCCTCTTCATCCATGCAATCCTGCAGACTGGTAATTTGAGGTCCTTGGGGAAAAAGCACATAATCAGTCTGCATCCTTAGCACAGACTGATTTAGATTGCGCAGGCAATATGAATTCAAGGATTTCCTAGTTATTGAATTCTTCATTTGTAACCTTAACTATTTTAATGTAACTTTTTTAGCATATATAACAATACATGAAAAAACACTACTCTTCTTCTCGAATATGAAAAGTTTCTTGGGTCAGCACAAAAGCTCAGATCTCACTGTAAATGGTGTGTTATAAATACCTAGATAAATACAATAAAAAGCTTTTGGAGAGGATTTCTTCCTTTTGGTTCCAGTGAGAGAGGGGTAAATAAAATAATTGATGTGCCCTGATAGCTGTCGACCAAGTTTCATGTGGCGTGGCATGTCTTTCCTTTGGCATGCATGTAGCAGCAGCACATTTTAGCACCTCGCCTACAGCATCCACCTCCTGACAGCAAAACTTGTCAATAGGAAAGCATTCAGCACTTCATTATTTCTACAACCTGAGTGCATTTGCAGATTAATTGATGTGTGGGAGGAAAGGCATCTGCTATTGTAGAAGCCCTGAACTGTTGCAGCAAGACTAGAAATAAACTGGTTAGCTGTAGTGAGCTGATGAGTTTGCAGGTGTGGAAGCCTCTCAAGTGGCATCTTGTCCATTTTTCTTGTTGCCTTTGATACTATTTTTAAAAAAAAACAAACCAAACTGCTTACTGAATTGTGGCCATGGAAACAAACAGCATGATAAAGATAATACCATATATACTTATATATGGTTAGTTAGCAAGTAGTTCCATATTTCTTGCTGGCTCAGCACCAAAAGAGAGTTTTAATTAGGCCTGTAATGAATGACTGGGAGCGTTTTAAAGGCTATTAATCTTGTGGTGTAATTGAGTTAGTTATAATATCATTATAAGCTCCCATGAAAATAATATGAAATGTATTCCATTTGTTTTAGTCCTAAAGATATTTCTGAGGTCCCCCTGGCTTCATCTGGCATACTGCTACTCGAAGTCTTCAACACTGACAGAGAAAACTGTAAGACGGCTTTATGTGCCATTCCACCAAACCCTTCTGTTCGGCGCATCATCCTGTTCCTGGTCTTGGGCTCTCCGAGCTGCTGCTTTACCTGTAAACTGCGGGTAACTTCTTGCAATGGAATGTGTCTTTTTTTAGCTTTCATTGCACAGTGTAGTATTCCCTTGTTTTTCTGGTTTCTGATCGGTTATCTTACCCGAGCGTGGCAGATGAGAGTAAGAATATGTGATCTATTTTCAGAAATAAAGATTACAGCAGCTTTCGAACTGTTACTCTGTGCTGTGGTAAAAAAATGTGTAGCAAAAGAGGTGTTTTTGCAAAGCATATGGCTTTTACACTAGTTCAGACTACAGTAAGTTTTGGATTTGGTTGTAAAACATCTCTGTGCTTTTTGCACTCTCTAGTCAGAGTGTGACATCTTCAACAGATGGACAGATAAACTTTCCATAATCCATGTCTTTCCTTTCAGAAGAGGAGATGAGATTCTCATTTGTAAAAGTTGGTGAGGAAAACCTCATCTGTATAAGTCTGTTGTATGCTTAGATGTTGCGGTGTGAAAATTTGATGGATACGCAGCTAAGTACTGGAGTTACTGATATTTTGGGGGCTGTCTTTTTGCAGATGCAAAGTCAGCCCTTCTGTATGTATTGCAAGCCTTATTAGGGCATTTGCTTTATCTGTTTTCAGAACCATGTGCGTGGAACAAGCACGTTGCTCAAATCCACCTTTTCTCTGTTTTGGTTGATATACTGTCTTCTTTCCTTTTCGTAACCCTGCATTATCAGGATATTTTGGTTTAGTATTTTTAAATTCTACAATTGAGAGCTTTTTCCAACCTTAATTAACCCTGATGGGATGGTAGAACTACCTTTTTTTACTTTCAGTAACTTTGCTGGTCACACTTCTATATTTTCCATCCTCTTGACTATTACAGATTTTGTAAATAGTTTGGAAATGCCAGCTTGTGATGTATGGGCCTCTTTAACATTTCTTTGATTTATGTGCACTGTGCTGAAAAAAGCAGAGGAAGCATATTATTCTGGAAAAAAATGTTGCCAGTCTTCAGTTTTTTCAGTCTTAGTTAAAAGCTACACTTTTATCAATCAAACCTGATAGATTCTTTTTTCATTCCTAAAAACATTCATAATTTAACTCTTTGAAGTCTACAGAAATAATTTGGCTAAGACTTTTATAAATGTCTATTTTTTGGATGTCTAACTTGAAATATCCTTTAAACTGATTTTTCAAAAGTTCGCATTTTCATGCATTACACCTTGGTCATCTAAAAAGTAGAGACATTAAGAAATCACTAAGGGTAGGGGATTCATTTATTTTTTTGGAAATAAAGTTTGGCCATATGTTGCTATTAGCAATAGTGCATTGCACAAACTGATATAGTAAAACACTTTTTGGTTTCTAGCAGTATGGAGTAAGATGATTTCTCTACCTTGTATACAAATGACAAGGGTACATGATTATCCAACTTCTCATGTAAATGTCCTACGTAAAAGCAGAGAGCTAGTTTTTCTTAAATCTGGTGTTCTGTTTCAGATAAAGTTCCCAAAAGTCCATGTTGTAAGCCATAAGTGGCTATTCTGAAGAGTTTTAAAAAAATATATACAATTGAGTTTAAATTTAGAGTTCTTAGTTAACGCATAATATTGTTTTAGCTGGAGGAAATTTTCAGTGAAACTTCTTAGAGAAGGAAGAGCTCACGCTCCTGCTAAGTAACAGCAGGATTGCTCTGTCTCCCAAAAGTCAGTGTGAGGTTGAAGACAGGATTCAGGTATATATCGTTAATTTTTGAACACAGAAAACTTGAGTAAGGGCAGAAAAGCTCTTTTTTTAATTGCCTTGGGGGGAGGGGGGGGGAAGCAAAGTTTCAGGTTTTGTTGACCATTACATTTCAGCATTCTGCTTGCAAGTACAGTGGTTACGGTCATCTTTTCCAACAGGTATTCTAGAGATGTCCATTCAGTGTTGAATGTGATATGTTTTAAAGGGGGGAAAATGATGTGTTTCTTTTTGACACTCATCCTCCAGAATGCAGCTGATTTCTAACTTCCAGCCACCTATGGTGATTCTAGAGTTTGTGCAAAAATCTGTGTTACAAGGGAGGATGAGAATTTAAACCTCTTCTAACCACTTATAAGCGATCTGTATCGGTTGCTGTTATTTGCGTATGAGTGCTTTCTGTGGGTCACTTTATAGTGTCTTGAAAGGAGTATAAATTAATCCGATCATGAATATTCTGAAGGTGTAGTAGGAATGTTCATATAGGGAAATAGGCCACATACATTCTGTTCCAGATCTAACTGTCCTGCTTCAAGCTTTAATTGGTTGTCCTTGCTAGTGGGCTGGAAGTCAGCATTCCCAGCAGCATTGCTTTGGGATGTCTGCTAGATGTAAAGAAAGAGGATGTTAGCAAAAGCAGCCATTTAAGGAAGAGTTCTCTCCTAATTTGGCAAGTTCAGTTCAGTTTAAACCATATTCATGCAACCCCTTCTGCTGGCATGGTAGTGTGATCACCTCTAGTAGAAGAGAGCGGTGATGTCTGGTATACCTTGGCAAAGTGTATCCATCTGCCCATGGCATACCTGCGTCAGGATGAACTGTATGCTGGAGTTCTGATCTTTGAGTACAGCTTCCCCTTCAGGGAGGCCACGGGAGACTGAGTAAAGCCAGATTTCTGTATGCTGGCAGAAAGACCTACGGCTAGGCTAATAGCTGTTGTCTGATACTCAGTATGGGTATTTGCTAGTCCAAAATATATTGTGCATTTTAATTATTGTGCAGGTGACCAAAGCTAAAGAAAGGCATTGAACAGAAGTTAAAATAATTAAATTTAATGAGTTGTGGAGCTAAATTTTTTTTTTCCCCAAGTACCAGCTGGGGTCATTACTGCTATATTGCTTATCCACTAATGGATTTCCCTGTCTGTTCTTTGACTGTCTTTCTCCCCTTTGTCTGATGGTGCAACTGGGCTAGTTGGATTTGCAGCTTGGAGACATTTTATTGAAGAAGAGTATTCATTTCTTTATTTGTCTGAAAAGTAGTTTGTTTGCTGTAGTGGTAAAGCCCAATCACGGTGCTGCAAATCATGGCATGCTGGTAGACAATTTGAAGAGTGTTTCTGTAGCTGATTGCAGCCCTTTATTCTACCACTCATTTTTAAAGTATCTCCACATTTCTTATATAAGCACCTGAGCATCCCCTGTCACAGAGGCAGCAGGCCATTCTTTATACTGACATAGCTGCCACCTGAGCCCCTGACACCAAAGATTTAGTCTAGGGCTTTAGAAAATATTAATTTTAGCGTGAGAGCAGTGTCTTCAGTTCAAAGTTCTGGTGGCTGTTTAAGGGAGCACAGCAGCACTGAGGAAAGATACTAATTGTGTCCTTATTCAGTCTTGAGTTTTAATGATGACTTTTCCCTGCTACAGATTATTTGTCCTATGCAAAGATAATGCTTTTGTCAAAAAGGAATTTGGATTTTCTGTCAAATATTGATCAAGTGCACTTCTTGGGTCTTTAGACTTTAATGAAATCCATTAAGTGAACACACAAGTGTGAATATATCACATAGAGCGACACTAACACCATTTGCCTATTAGTGGACAACCTCCGTACCAACTACTACCGTTGAGCTCAGAGTTACTTGAAAACACTGCTGTTTGTTACTGCACATGGTTTTGTCATTTAGATGCAGAACGCAATGTAATAATTTTACTCTGCTTTTTGTGATTCTGTTACGTGTCTGGGTTGTAGTTGCATATCCAATGAAATACCAGTTCATTTAGTTATCTTTCAGGAAATATATATGTTCAAGCCCTTCAGAGCACCCGGAGGTATTTATAAACCTCTTAAGCATAAAATACAGTTATTCTGAAGAGGTAAATAAAGTAGTGTGTAGCCCCAGATTATGATTACTCTGCCTCTTTATCCATTTCAAATACTAGATCTCTTTAAACCTCAGAGCCTGTTGGCTGTGTAGTGTCCCTTTGCGTTGATATTATCCAAAAAGCAAGAACATGTCACTGATGTAAATATTCAATGGATTCCACAATACTTAAAAAAAACCCAAACAACAAACCCGAAACTTGGAGGAGGATTAGTGGCTTTTGCAGAGGCTTTGAACAGCACAGATAATTTTATTGGCAGCAAGGATGCAGATGCTGAAGTTTTGACCAATTCCTTGAAGAAAGTGCGCCAGATTTGCTATCTCTGCATGGTGAAAAGCCAAAGAATTGCAAGCAGTTATTGGAGTGAGGGACCATTGATGCAGTCATTCATCAGCCGAACTTCAATGTTTTTGAAAGAAAAGTATGGAAAGAACACACTTTAAGGCTGAAATCTGAAACTAATTAAAACAGTACTCAGCAAAAATAGGAATTCAAAGACAATGGAATAAAAAATGTAGTGAAGACAAAATGTTAAAAGAAACAGGGATATGTGTCAATCCATTTCCTACTATTGTACCTTTTTATATATATATGTGTGTGTGTGTGTGTATATATATATAAAAAAAAAGTCTAAACTTGTTCTTCAGCCCCCTAGCCTTGGGAGGGAGGAGGAGAGACCTAAGGGAAAACCAAGATTGCATGTGCAGGTAGATGTCCTCAGAATGCTCCATATCTCCTGGATAATTGACCAGGGTGAGGCAATGGCACTGTGCATCTCAATGCAATGCAAATAAGAGCCGTGGCCTGCGAGTGGCTCATTAGTTTCACAGTTTAGTAGGATCAGGGTGTTTAGGAAAAGATACAGTAACTTCTGTACAAGGATTTTAAAAAAGAATGGGATGGGGATAGCCTTTCTTCCCATCATGGATCGGTATTTGTTGCTTAAATATTCGTGTAAACTGGAAAGTGTTTGGGGGGCATAAATGCTCTGAAAAAATAGAACAAAGTGTTCTAATTAAATTGTAAGCTAGAGCAAAGGCACAATGTCTAGCTTTCCTATTAATTAAAAAGCCTGCAACCCAGTTCCACAAGGGGAAAACCAATGAGTAGAGGAATTGGAGGCTGCTCTTTTGGTTTATTGATGCTGTTTTGGCCAAGTCAAGAATTCAGCTATCCTAAAATGATCAAACATTGTTTGGAGAAAAAGAGAATTTCCAAACCGGCCTCATTATCTGAGAGAAGCTTAAAAATACCAATTATGGTAGTGTAATTTCTCTCTTGCCTACTTAAGTCTGCAGAGATGAAACTGTGGGAGTGTCCTGCTTGCTTGCTTGCTCATTGCTCTTTTCAAAAGAACAACTGGAGTTTTATCATAGTAGACAAATCCCTTGTTAGCTGTAAGGGAGAAATAGTTTAATGATGAGGGGCAAAGTACTGTGTATCTTAAAAGGAGGCAAATGTGTGTGCGTTCTCCAGTATTACAGTGAACTCAAATTCTGTGATGGGTAAGTATCTGTCAGCCACTTCTGTAAAACTCCATTTCTTGGAGGAATGGAAATAAACTCTTTTTTTTTATATTACCTATATCTGAGAAAATGCTTTTTTGTTTATGTATGTGGTCAGTAAGTATTTCCATGAGAATGGAAGAAACATCACAACAGAGTAATGTGGTTACAAAGAAAAGTCATTTTTCTGCTTTCACTTTTCAAAGAAAACCTAAAGCTTAAAAAGCTTTAAATAATGGTAATATGTAAATTTAATGTGCAACTGTGAGTTGACATGGTCAATTGTAAATGCTCCAAGTGATTGTTTGTTTGTTTGTTTGTTTGTTTTCCCCCTTGATTCTTACCTTCTTCCTACCCAACCGGTTTTTGCAGTGTTAAATGGCCTTGTCAGTAAGTGGAGTGTAATGACTTGTTTGGTCAGCAGTCAGCACATGCAAAATTTCCAGCCCATGAATTATGTAAGCTAAAGACCTTTAGACCCAGCATGATTCTAATGATGGAGCTTTAATTTTAAAAGTTTTAAATTAGCTCTGTGTATGTGTTTGTAGTTTCATAACATACACTATAAAGTAATCCTATAGGCCAAAATATGATCAGTCACGATACAGTCAGTACATTTCTATTTAATGAAGGGACCTTATTGCATTGTTCTGGTTTAAGCCCTTTGGCTGTGGTTTGGCTGTAGCAGAAGGTCTCTGTCTGCTCCAAACCTTAAAGATCATCTGCAGAAGACAGTGTGATCTTTCAGGGGCATGGAGGGATTCTTTTTTGTTTGTTTTGATTGTTTTAGGAGGTGCGTTGCCTTGTTTCTTGTGAGAAGAGAGTCACTGGTGTAGAATAAATAAAAGATATGTGATTAACTTCTAAAAAAAAAAAATGCTCTCGGAAATAAATCCAGTCTGCATTTCTCTAATACACCTTCTCTGTTTAAATAGTTCATGTGAAAGCCAAAGACATCTTACGTGAATGAAGAAATTGCCCTCCTTACAATTACAGCTGTGAGAAAACTGACTCCAAAGCGCTATCTCTGCTATGATGTATTTCACTTTGTGAGGAAGATGGAGAGCCGTTAATATATGAATGTAGTTTTCATATACTCAGGAACACTGTGAAAATGTGAATTATGGCACCTGTAAAACATCACTGATAAACATTTCTTCTAGAAAATACAGGCCATCTTGCTATTACCATAGAAAAATAATGAATCTCAAAAATAATGAAATTTAAAAATACTCCAACTTCTGTTTTTATTTACCTTCAGGTAAAGCTTTTGTATGTACTGAAGTGTTAATTTTCAGTACTTTTCCTACATCCTTGACAACTAGAGTCTCTTGATTTTTAAAATGTGGAATTCACACATCTACTTGGAACCACAGTTTTAAGAAAAATATCAGCTATCATGAGACTCATCATAAAACTGCACAGGTTGGCACTGGTGTATATCCTAGCTGCTAAGTGTTATAAATTGATTTTTTTGTTGTTGTTTTTTATTTCTTAGTTTTCTGAAATAGATTTTGTGTTTCATCTGCATGTATTGGGGGACAAAGATCAATCTTGTTGAAATTTTACAGAGGAATATTTCATTAGGAAGTAAAGAGCTTAGCTTCACATAAACCAGTTGGAATTCCCCAAAGCTGAAAGATGTGGATGCTTGCTGTAATAAAGCCTCTGAATGATAGGGAATTCCTAAGCGGCTGATAAAGAAATGATTTGCAGTACTACCTAGTGCTGCACAAATACTCAAGTTCAGTGAGTATTTAACATGTTTTATGGATAAAGCTATTGCTGTTTACCATTCTGCTGGTTTAAATGAGCACGGTTTTTGAAAGCAGGTGGAAGGACGTTGGGAATACACTTAGAGAAGGCAGTTGTGACCATCCACAAGTGCCCAACTTTTGGCTGCGTTGGGTTGCATGGAGCACCCCTCTGTAGACACTAACTGAAAGACACAACAGCTCTGCTGACTCAAACCAAAGAATCATGTCGCCCCATATCTCATCTCCAGCAGTCGCTGTAAGCATATGCCTGTATACAATGTTCTCCCCAATGTTCTTCCAGCTATCAGCAGTCTCTGGCTCAGGGATTTCTTGAGCTAATATGGTTTCTGTGTGTTTGTTAACGCTCAAAGGGTTTGTGTCCCATGAACTCATCTCAGCTTCCCTGTATGAGCCTTTTAGCACTCCTAGTATCCTCTGACAATATGTTTCATGTGTGTTCCCTAAGGTGAAGAGATGATGTTTGGAAACAGCGTTCTCTTGTTAATAAGCAAAAATTTTGAGGCGATTGCTATTTTTTTAGCTGAGATTTGCTGTCATGGCCGATGCTGGCAGACAAAGGTATTTATTTTGCAAAAGGAGAAAGGAACTGAATGGCATGTTTATTATCTATCAGGACTGCTGAATCTCCCTGCTATACTTTTAATGCTAGTGGTACTGATTTGGCACTATTTTCGGTCTTGTTTCTGCTCCTCAGAACAAAGGATTAAGAAACAATTTCCCAGTCTCTTCAGTTAACACCCCTGTGCCCCCAAAAAGGAATGCATTCTGTGCAATACAGTATGTGATACTTTAATAATGTATAAATCAAGTAGGACAGAAGCTGCCTGTCAGTTTTATTAACTTTGACCTTTTCTCCCATTATAAGGATAGTTTTGTAAATATTTAATGGCCCTTATAGATTTTGACAGTTGGACCTGCATTCCTAGGAGCAAAGGTAGATTATGAAGAAATACTTATAATTAATAAAAATAGCTTAATCATTGGGAGTCAGCCTTCAAGGACAGAATTGGTTTTTAGAATGTATTTATTTTTAATTCCTTTTTTTTTTATGCCTGACTACTAAATGTCAGATTAACCAGGAGGTTATGAAATGTTTTTAAAAGGTTGCATTTAAAATTCATCTATGATTAGCACCTGTCATTACCATTATTTGGATACTTGCTCAGAAATGGAGGTATTTACTTGAAATACCTGTCAGTGTCATTCTGCGCAGTGAACGTAAGTGAATGGTGTCAACAGCACATAATTGCTGAAGGAGGGCTGCTCTTAATAAGATGCAAGAAGAACAGGAACAAGTGTATTCCTGGAGTCAGAGGGGTCTTCTGCCAGAGCGGTCTTTCCCTTTAATTCCCTGCATATTGCACTCACTGCAGATTCTGGTAGTGAAGATTGAAAACTAAGCCCCTGACACTTTGAAACATTGCCTTTCAAACATGTACTGTCCATTGCTCTCATTGATTTCTTCTTTTCTTTTTTCTTTTTTTTTTTCTCCCCCATTTCAGAAATCTGTCAGAGAAAAACAAATTTGAGCAAAATTCATTGGTCTAAGCAGAGTGCTCGGGGCATTACAATCCCCCCGCCTTCCCTGGTGGAGCATGGTTCTCTTCCTATTAGGAATGCGATGTGTCTTCATGTTGTGCCACGGCCGAGATTACGTGGCAAAGCAGCCAAGTAAATCAGGAGCCTGTTAAAAAGCCTTATGGATGCTCTGAGCATTGACATTTGAGTCAAATTGGCTCACAGGATAGCTTCGCTCATTTTAATAGTCGTTTTCAAGTAGATCACTTTACCAAGCTTTGCTTCCCTCATTTTCAGCCAGTACCCTGCAGAATAGCTTTGCCTAAGACCACTTTATTTTCTGTAACCTTTTTTTTAGATGCAGACCATGGGGTTAGAGTTGTTAATGTGTTAAACAGTTTGCCTTTTTCAGAACAAATCTTTAGACAATTTAATGAACACTTGGTGTGGGGACTAGAATGATGAAGGAAATTGCATTTGTCTGACACTGAATCTTTCTCCTGCCCCTTCTCTTCAAAAATGGAGGACTAAATGTAAATGTAGATTGAAAGTGTTTAGAGGTGAGCTTGTAACTTGTTGCGCTTGAAGCTGGTTTCAGGACAGACACAGCACTGTAGCTGTTCTTAAATCTGTGAGCAGTGGGAATGCACTAAAAATCTTGCAGATTCATGTTGTGTCCTTCATAAATTTGTCTTTCATTGGCAGGTAAAATAAAAGGTTAGAGGAGAAAGCTACTGAATGTGAATCTTTCTGCAAAGCTATGGAGATGTGCTAGCAGGTATTTTAAAGGCTAGATTTTTCTTTACAGTGGTAGAAACTTCTTTGCGAATGTTTTGTGGTTTTATGTTTAAGAAAAAAAGATGTGTTATTTCTAAAAAGCTGGTTTATATAGTGAAAGGGTTGCATCTTTCTTCCTCTTTTCTTCTTCCAAAAAGTAAGAATGCTTGATCCCTTGAGAGGAGAAACAGTCTTAACATTTAAAAGCAAGCCCAAGTTTCAGGAGAGGTAGGACTTGAGAGGAAGTCTTTGATTCATCATCTTACTTGCCCTATAGCATAATTTCCTTGTAATACCTATTTCACAGCAGACTTTTTTAATATGCTGTTGTTCATATTGTCTTCCATCCAAGCAATATATATATATATGAAATACCATACATTAACTTGCTGACTGACTGTAATTTGAATCAGGTGGTACAGATAGTAGAGGTCTGACATAGAGTACTGCAGTGGAGTGTATTTTAATATATATGGTTTTTATTATCCAGTTGCAGTACCATGCCGGGCTAGCATCTGGCCTTTTGAATCAGCAGTCTTTGAAACGTTCAGCCAACCAGATGGGAGTATCTGCAAAACGCCGACCAAAAGCCCAGCCGACAACTCTTGTCTTACCTCCGCAGTAAGTAATGGAATATGTTGAAGAGTTGGCAGGGGAGGGGGGCGGATGCTTTTTTTAACTTTTTATTTAATTATTTATTCTTTTAAGTCATCATAATAGCAGCTTTGTGCTTGCATTTTTGTTTCATACAAGTTGACTTATTCTTGTTGGATGGGTGGGGTACCCTATGGAAACAGTATTTTGTTTCTTCTTTTTATGGAGGCATTGTGACAACAGAAAAGTTGCAAGCATTCTTCTCTGTAGCAGGTCATAAAAGTTTTTGCAACACGAGATTGTCATTGAAGAATTATGTTCCCCTGATTAGTATGACTTGGAGCTTCAAGTAGGACTTTTCTGAAGGTCCTAAAAGGCTGAAGCCAAAAAGTCTTTGGTGTGAGTACTTTCTCGACAAACGTCTGTTCTGAGTCCATCTGTTCACCATATGTTAATTTTGCATTGGATCTAAACCTCTTTTACAGGTGACAAGCAATTACGAGGACACTTAGAAACTGTTTGAGGACATAGAGTATCAACACTTTAGGCAGTCTGTGTACTGATGCCAAAAACACAGAAATGTCCACAACTAAGCTTATAAATTAATAAACTGCTTAAAATATTTAGTTACATATAAGAAAATTATCATTATGTAGAAAATGAAGTGCTAAGCAATTATTCATTGTACTGAGCATCCTTGTAGTTTGTGGAAACTGCCTGCTTTTTTTCACAGAACAAGAGTCCCTGATGTATAAACACTATGCTACTAAAAGCTTCATAGTTGTAATGATAAAAGACCCTGTTGTCACCAGAGTCCACAGGCCTAAGTTGATGAAAGAATCTAAGGAAGTTTAGAGTTTTTTCCTTATATGAAATGAGAAAAAAATCAGAGTCAACAGAGCTTTGCCCTTGTATATTAACTTTAAAAGGCTGCTAACTCAAGAATCCATAAATGTTCTATTGTTTTACCGATAAGTCAGATGATGAAGAATGGTTAGAAGGGCAGCTCTAGCAGAACTACAGGTTTGAAAACCAGATGTTCTTTCTCTTATACCTGTGAAAGATCGGGGGTATGTTGTGACAAACTGGCTAAATAGTTTTTTTCCTTTGTTGGGATATCAGGTTTATCCAGAGCTTAAAATGGACTTCTCCAAGAAGTCTATAATCTAGAGTACTGTGATACAAGTTGTCACAGTTTTTATTCAGATATCTTAAAATATTTTGGTGTTCTGTTTTGTTTTTTTTAATCATGGCTTCTCCAGTTACTAGAAATATGTATAGTGAGAGAGAAAGAGCTAGCTTCTATTTTTGCATAGAAAAGTCTGTACTTGAAACAGTTGCAACTGTATAAACTGTAAAATATGAGGTATATAATATACACATTTAAAGGTATTGTATGTCTTTTTATCTGCAGGTCATTTTTCCTTCAGTGGTGCATTTACGTAGAATTTGCAGATAGAATGAAATTTTAGTGTGGTAACTAAACTTTAGCTAGTAGTTGAAGTATGTTTCAGTATCTTATTACTACTTCCAGCATTATTCACAGGGAAAATAATATGTTTATGCTGAGCTGGCCCTTTATCTGTCACTGGTTTCCTCCTCTCTGGCTTCGCTTTGACCTTTCCTTATTTGTCCTTATCTACTATCTTGGTGTGTCTTAAGAAGAGAATAATAGTTATATTAAGTCAAATCAAATACCTGTTGAGCCCAATATCATGTCTCCAACACAGGGCAGAGGCAGATTATGAAAAGACTTATAAAAACAGGCTTATGAGAAGTATGAAAAGAAAAAAAGTATGGCAAATAGATTTCAATATCTTGATTTTTTGCTGTAGTTTCATGCTAATAATGATGAATCATGCTGTGACTTTTTTTTTCTTTTTATTTCTCTTCATTCTCTCTAAAATGCAAAAAAAGAAAACATCTGGGTACACAACTACATATCTCTTTGAAAGGGCATACTGCATACTAATTTTCCCATGGCAATTCAGGGATTTTTTTTTTTTAGCTTTATTGATTAGTCAAGAAAGGGTTAACTATTTCTTTGTCTTTTTTTGCTTTGATGTATGCTATTAAAATTAAGCTCAGTGACAAGTCTTTAGGCTGAGTAACAATGTGCTATGAGTCAAGTACATATTAAATGTTGTTCAGAGCAACTATATTATCTAGAGCTTTTCTTAAACTTAAGTAGTTAAAACCACCTATGTGCCAAAATGTCATTTTAGGATAGCCAATTGGAGCAAATAGCAACACCATAGTAATCCTTTTCAGCCAGCAACGGAATGCAGGAAACACTGTTGCTCAGGAGGCAACGCAGGTGATGATTTGGACAAAGACTCTTCTAAAAACTGTTTTATTTTTATGCAGATTTTGCATATGGATAGTTTGATACTAAACATGTCCTCATTTGAGTTAAAGGTAGCATTAGAGACCATGTTACTGATCTATTTATTTGTTTGCGTTTCCATTCCTTGAAGAAACTGCACAGGTAACTTTTGCTATTGCACGTTACATTCTTAATGGCAATGATGCAAGCTGAGCAATTACCTTGCTAATCCATATATTTGATTTTTACTGGTATGGTGAGGCTTGAGTTTTGTTCCACAGACTGAACATACCCAAATGGTGTCTCTTCACATGAGGGGTGATACAAAACTTGATTCTTGTGCTGTGTCAACTCATTGTTCACTTGAGCCCTTAGTCTCTCTCCCTGCTCTGCTGTTTCTTCTCCCTTCCAACAAACAAACAAACCAAAACCAACCAACCAAAAAAAACCCCAAAACAAAAACCTCAAACCTTCTCAGCCTGTCTTGAAGGCTCAGCCATCTCTTCCTATTCCCTGGTCACAGAAGGAGCTGGACAAAGGATTTCGCTAATGGCAAAGCTGATTCTTGGTCAGCACATTCATTTGTCCCTTGCCAGCCTTAGGCCATCGTTTGATGTCCTCTGGTTTGGAGGTGAAGAGGTCTAGTTTTTCACTAGTAGGTATCTGAAATGGCAGCATCAATGTTGAATCAAAAAGGTATTTTTAAAAATGGAAGGTCTCTGTCCTATGCAACCAGTACTAGGAAAATGTTCATTTTCTCACTGTTTTCATTATCTGAGGGCTTCTAAGGGTGCTGAACAGTTTTGAAGAGAGACCTTTTGGTGTTCAGTTTTGCTTTTCAGTATTGGTTTTCACTGGCTCTGAAAGTGCAGAAAGGAATACTAGATTGATATGCGTCTCATTTCTAGCCAAATGTATCTGTTTGAGAAAATGACTAACTGCTGGCTGCTTTCTCTCCCTGCTTTGTCCCTCCTTCTGTCTTCTATTAACAAGACATCTCCCTGTACTTGCTAATAGATGCATTCCCTCACATGCTTCTCATCTGGCTGCTGGTTCCTTCCTTCTGTTAAGAATCTTAAAGCAGTGTTTGCTGAAGTGCTGAAAGCTGTCAGCTCCTTCCAAGTGACTAGGAAAGCATATACATGCAACCATTCTGAAAACTAGGATGGCTTCTTCTGTTTGAAATAAATAAATAAATATGGTAAGAAATGATGGCTCTTAGTTTTTTCTTTCCTTTTGAAAGGTAGTAATTGATGCAGTTAATTAATCTTGTATTATTTTGCTTGGTGCCACATCTCAAAAGCAAATTCCCAGTTATGAAGTTGTCTCCATGACCCTGTGGGAGCAGAACGCTGCACCCCAAAGTCTGGGGTGGCTGAGAGCAGTAAGACCATGGAGGTGGTCCCTGCCAGTGGACCACCCTGCTGAGAGCCCAGCAGACTCTAGTATGTCATTGTCTAGCTGGAAAATGACAGCAGTGAGTCACAGTGAGATGAGGAGGAAGAAAGAAAAGAGGAAACAGGATGTTGACTATATTCTTGCGGTTGTGTTCATCGGCATACACAAGAGGGTCAGTTAGTTTTAATGGGAACTTTTAGGGGTGCCAGCTGAAAACCTTGTGACTTTGATAGCTCTTTTGTGTGGGGCTTTCTTAGTGCTCCCAGATTAATCATCTGTCTCCTCTGTCTGGAAGGAAATTGCCAGAACAAGAACTTGCTCACCACAAAAGGTGCTGAGACTCTTGCCCTTTATGGTGCCTTTTAGGCTCGTTTGTTGTGACATTTGCAGTTTTGGGGAAATAAGCACACTATAAACAACAAACAAGTGGAAGTCTGGTCCTTGTTTGACAACTTCAGGCTCAATGGACAGAGAGGCTTGAGTAAAACAGAGTCTAATTTTTTTGTTTTAGGGCTCTTCAGCTTGTCTTGTAAATCTCTTGTGGTCTGATGTATGCCCTAACCTGACAGTGAAAACATTGTAATAGATTGAGTAAAAATCTCTGTGAATTTGTACCCTATTGCTAGGAGCAGACCAGCAAAATTACTTTTCCTTTACTAAAAAAAAAAAAAAAAAAAAAAAGACATTGGTCTAGATAGATGAGCAACAAAAAGCTGTGAAGATAACTTTTCTTTTAGGAGATAATAAGGACTTGAGGATAGAGTGCTGGGCAGAGGCTCAGGAGGGCCAGGTGGTTTCTGCCACTTGTTCTGTGTGAGATGGAGGAGGTGTCTATTCTGCTCTCTACTCCTCAGAATCCATCTGGATTCTTCTTCTAGAGAAGATGGGTATATTCAAAAGAAGTCCATACTTGCTCCATCCTTTGGAACTACATTAGCAAAAGATGCTCTTTAGTGAGGGGTCTCCTTAAAAAAAATTAATTTACTGGTTCAGCAGGTATCTGTTCATCTGGATTTAGAAAATAAATTTACAGATATCCCAAACTCTGTGTTTATTGCAGCTTGATTCAGTACCAGCATAGTCAAAGTGTAGTTCTTTCATAAATAACATTAATGCCCTATCAGTTTTATGGTTCTGTCATATAAGTAGTACTGTAACATTCTATTGTATTTGTTCAACAGCTTTCTTCAGGACACACAAATTAATTCTTGAGGAAGGAATTTCATTTAAAATAGTGATGTAGTATTCAAAAAATAAAATGTTCCTATTCTTAGTGGTTAACTGGAAGGTATGTATATATATA